ATTAAATTCCGTCGCGCGGGCCACGGCCAGAAATGTACCCGGTTCAATTTTGCATTTAAAACACCGAGCGCGTGTGTACGCGCGTTTACATGCGACCAAATGAATCCGCCGCCAAGTAGTATGTAGCCCATTTGTCCATTTACGAAACAGAACAGCATACCAGTTGAGAGCATAGTAATGAAACAACAAAGGACGGCTGAAGATCGTCAGAGTGCAATTTCATGTAAGATTTTCTACATATTCGACAGGGAGTCGATTCACTTATCTAACGAGTCGTCAGTCTCTCTTTGACAACGGGATAGAAACTGTCGTTCGTCAAACAATGGTCCGCTTGCACAAGGTCCCTAAAGAGGTGACGACGTTGATTTTCTATTCCATCACGTAAACGTAAAAGAATGATATACGTCTGCGAATTAGCTAATAGCCTGGACACTTTGTGCCGAGTTACTTCCCCATTCCCTTTTCGTTATAGCCTTCCGCTTTTCGCCACGCTCGCTGCCCCTCAATGCTCCGCGACTGCCACCCTCCGTCGACGGAGTACATATCGCGGCGCGTTCCTCCATTATTCATGACATTATTTTCCACCTCGATAACTAACGCGATCGACTTTCCCGTGGCTCGTAAATCCGTCCACGGTCCGGCTTTGCCCCCGTGAAAAATTTATACCACCGATATTTGCGCGCCTAGAGGTGCCGTAGCACCCGTTCGTGATAGTTTCACGTTCCCGCGGGCAAATTTTTTTAAGAGTAATTACCTTATTCAATAGTTGATGGAATAATTAATGCAGTATTTCATGTAATGATTACAATACTAATAATAATATTTGATCTAGTCATTCACATGCCAATTACTGCATAATTGCCTATAATAATTAGCACAATAGTTTGCATAATAATTGATTGATTAATGAGTAAGGAGAATTGCAAATAATACCTCATGATAGTTGGTTTAGGCTTTTGCGATTAGGTCCGGTGAATCAAAGTAAAAATCGAAATCGCATTGGAGTTCGCCTGCACAAAGGAGGAAACTTGCAATGTATAGATTAGAAAGCTGCGAGAGCGGAATCGTGAATAGGGGCGAGTCAGGAGGAGCATGCATCACGATATAAGCGTGTAACTTGTAGTTGAATGAGCACGAATGTCGCGAAATTTTCTTTTTGCTGCGAGTCGAGCTGCGATTCCTAAATATAATTAAAACCCGTACAGCCACTGCGAGTTTATTTCCAACCAGCCGGATATAAGTCATGTAATATTTAAAAGTTTCGTTACTAACTAAAATATTCGTAGTTATTAAAATTGCATAATTCATGCTGTGCAAAGCTTACCGATGTGTTTAAAATCGAGCGAATTACTCATCGTTGAGAAAGCAGGTTCGACAGCTTTTGAGTAGAGCTTGGTAGAACTGGATAAAATATCGTTCGGCAAGCGTTAATTTTCCTGAGCGTTCCTAGGTAAATGGAGCGTGTCCAGGCGCAGTGTCGGCAACCTGGGTAACTAGCGACAATCTAACAAGCTAAACGGTGGCCGTCCGGTTAGAAGCCTGGCAACAATTATCGAGAGAGCTCATGATCAAAAGCCCATTGCTTTCACTGATATACCCAAATATATGTATCTATATATATAATGCAAGAAGGCATTTTAAGTTCCTTGTTAAAAATTAGACGATCTCATTCATAGATTCTTAACAGAAATTCAGTCTAACTCTGAATTCAATTAAATGCTTCCGCATTCATCGTTAGTACATCTCTAATTCTATACCGTGCTTTGATATATTCAAAATCCGTCTTTTCTTTGATTTGCCGTTCGTCGACGCGCAAATCTCTGTTTGCACTTTAGATTTCAGTCTTTATCCTAAAGAGAAAATCCTTGCAAAGAAGCGTCAGGCTACGAGCTCTGAGATCCTCGTTTTATTCAGCTATCCGTCCATCCAGCCCTGGTATTTTAACAGACTGCAAAAGAGGGTAGGTACTTTGACCTCGCAGCGTTAACATGGCCCGGTGTTTGAGTTCGCCGTGGCGGCAAAGTCAGCGTTTCGAGCAAAAGGAGGAAAACGGGGAAAAAAAAGAGCGTAGCCGAACTTGCGGTAAGATCCGGCGGATAGTTAAGCTTCGCGAAGTTGAAACTTACAGGGTTGATCGATCGAAGGAACTAGTGGTAGAGAGTGTAGTTTCGAACAACGAGAGCGCGCGCGAGAGAGAAAGAGAGAGGGAGAGCACCTAGTAAAATTAATCGAACTACAGTCGATTAATTTTCTCCAGCCGGGGCTTACGGGTCCGATCTCTTATTTTAATCGAACAATTAAAAGCGTTCGTAATTAACGATACTATACGTATATACATCCATACGTACATACTCGGCAAATATCACGAAGGTTGAAGTTTATTCTTTGGGTAACAAACTCCCCCTCGGGTTTACTTTCTCTTCTACGGTTCTATTTGTACATGGGTTCTATTTGTACACGCGAAAGGAGAGTTTCGAAAGAAATAGATGCGAAACAATCTGCGTGCGTGCACGCTTTCCTACTTCCGAGAAATAACCGAACGGGTGCATTAGACGCTGCATTTTCAAATGAGAAATGTTCAAACCGCAAAACCAACGTCGCTTAAGGATGTACTGCCTATACAGTCAATCCCAAAAGTTTATGTACTTTAGAAAAACGCATTTCCTAAACATTTTTCTTCTAACTCAAGTATTTAAGGTGTTAAGTATGATTATTTGGCATTTTATTGATGTTGACAAAATCCGACCATCCC